CCACACGGACTGTCCCCACACTGTCCACACGGACTGTCCACACGGACTGTCCTCACACTGTCCACACGGACTGTCCACACGGACTGTCCTCACACTGACCACACGGACTGTCCTCACGGACTGTCCTCACACTGACCACACGGACTGTCCACACACTGTCCTCACGGACTGTCCACACGGACTGTCCTCACACTGACCACACGGACTGTCCTCACGGACTGTCCACACACACTGTCCACACGGACTGTCCTCACACACTGTCCACACACACTGTCCACACGGACTGTCCACACGGACTGTCCCCACACTGTCCACACGGACTGTCCCCACACTGTCCACACGGACTGTCCCCACACTGTCCACACGGACTGTCCCCACACTGTCCCCACACTGTCCACCTGGACTGTCCCCACACTGTCCACACACACTGTCCCCACACTGTCCACACGGACTAACCCCACACACACCGATTGCACATTCACTGTCCACATACACACTGACTCCTCCCTGTGTCCTCACCTCCTGCCCCTGCTTCTTCCACATGGCTACTCCTCACTGCCCACTGTCTTCCAGCTGTCCCTGCCCTGCTCTGGTCACACGCTGACCCCACCACAGGTCATCCTGCAGCTCTGCTGTCCCCACCCAACTGCTTCTCCTCTGGGTCTGTCCCCACATGGCTGTCCTCCAGGCCTGCTGTCCCCAGTGCTGACCGGCCCCTCTTGACTGACTCACCTTTCACCTTCCTCATCTTGAAGACTGCCTTTGACAGGCCCGGACTCTGCCTCGCTGCCGCTCTAGGCCGAGGACTTCAGCCAGGACCGTCCCCATCCCCAGGCTCTTGCCAGCCCAGCCTTAGCCTAGAGCCTGGCCGTTACGGGCCAGTGACACCCCGCTCCCAAGAACCCAGGGGTGCCAGCCAGTGTCTGAACCACCTTCCCTATTCAGCTTACTCCCTGACTCCTCTGTTCCCCCATCCAAGATGGTGTTAATCCACCGCCCCAGGGCGGGTTAGGGAGGAAAACAGCTCAGACCCCGCTGCTTCCTTAACCTGCGCTCGCCCTGGCCTGCCTGCCGTTAACCTTTTCTCTCCTGCAGCATGGTGGGATCTGCCCGGTCGCCTGCTGTCCCCTTGGCTCCAAGGTCTCTATGGCAGCCAAGTGCACGGCCCACCCCGTGACCCCCCAGTCCGCCTATCTGCTGTCTCTTTCTTGCTGCCCCCTTTGCCCTAGCCGATCCCTGCCTTTGCTTGCCACCCACCGCTCTTCACCTCGCACCTGCTGCCCTGTGGACAGGGCTGTCCGCACCGTGACCTGGGGCCTTTTGTCCCGTAAGGCCCTGCGGGGACTTGGAAAAGAAGCACACAGCCTCTGGTGCCCACATGCAGTTTGGTCTGCGCGCTTGTCCTGAGGTCTGGGGCCTGTGCCGCCACCCAGAGGGATCCATTTGGCCCAGAAGTGACAGGAGACATGGGTAGGAAAGGGCCTCGCAGCCTGTGTGCCAGGGCTTTGGCAGTAGTCTGCCCTCCCAGAGGAGAATGAGGTATAGGGCTCAGCACGGGGAGGGAGGAGCTGTGCCAGCACCTGCTTCCTGTCAGGAAGTATCCGGGTCAGCTTGAGACATTGGGTACGGACAGTCTTAGCCTTGTGTCCAGCCGTCTGGAGCCACTGCCTCAGGTGCCATCACAGTAGAGGACATTAGTCAGGTCCCTGGGCCTGGGAGTTGACACTCCTGCCCAGCTAGGGTGGCTTATGGCTCTGGGATCAGGGCTGAGGCTGAGTGCTGTTTGCTCCCATGAGCCCTGGCTCAGGGTCCGAGCCTCTGCCGTGCGGGGCAGCGCAGCCCTGAATCTCCCTCAGCCACAAGCAGGAATAGCAAGAAGGGAGTCAGCAGGGTCAGCTGAGACCCACTGCCCTGTGGAGGTCCCACCTCTGTGTGTGTTAGGGGACAATAAGGCCTCGGACCTTCCCAGAGTAACCACCGGCCTCCGGAGAAATGGGTGTGAGGACACACAGACAGATGACCTGCACAGGGCACCACTGCCCACACTGCAGAACTGCCAGCACCCAGCATGCACATTTCCTCCCAACAACGCTGCCACCCACTCACCCACGTCACCCACACGCCAGCACGGCACCAGCTCTGCCTCACACCTTACACATAGCACGAGGTGGCCCAGCCCCCCCTGATGGAGGCTCGGTGCTGTGACCCAGCAGTACGGACGAGGTGCTGTCCCTGGAGGAGAAGGACCTGAGGGACCGGGAGAGGCGCATGGCCAATAACGCGCGGGAGCGGGTGCGCGTGCGGGACATTAACGAGGCCTTCCGGGAGCTGGGCCGCATGTGCCAGCTGCACCTCAAGTCGGATAAGGCGCAGACCAAGCTGCTGATCCTGCAGCAGGCGGTGCAGGTTATCCTGGGCCTGGAGCAGCAGGTGCGAGGTAGGCCGCGCCCACCCTCTCCTGCCCTGGCCTGCTGTTGGCCGGGGTGACCGAAGCACAGTCCCAGCCCCCCCCCCCCCCCCCCCCCCGTCCCCTTGTGGGGACCGTCTCCCACTGCTCTCTCCTCCCGCACTCCCCCCAGAACGCAACCTGAACCCCAAGGCGGCCTGCTTGAAGCGGCGGGAGGAGGAAAAGGTGTCTGGCGTGGTCGGGGATCCCCAGCTGGCGCTGTCGGCTGCCCACCCGGCCCTGGGCGAGGCCCACAACCCGACCGGGCACCTGTGAGCCGTCGCAGAGTCTTCGTGGGACCAGGGACCACCGCACTCTCTGCCCAGGGTGCGCCCAGGACGGTCCTGGACGAGGCAGGACTCCAGCGAGGCATGGGCCAAGGGCCCGCACCCATCGCGGTGCCAGCAAGGCTCCTGAGGCACCTCGGGGCCTGGGGTGCCCCTGAGCAGCGGGCGTGGCTTGGCCCCAGTAACCAAGCTGAAGGGAACTTCCCCCCTCGATTAACCGAAACTGGAAACAAAGCCGCATGCTCACTTTTCAGAAAAGAAGAAAAGATGCCTTAATTATGTAAGACGGAAGAATCGGGACCGTGCCCTGGCAAGGGGCCTCCCAGGACTGGCTTCTAGTTCAGAGCCACCAGCACATCGTGCCTAAGCAGAAAAAAAAAAAAAAATTTTTTTTTTTTTTAAGGAGAATAAAAGAATGTTAGTTATCAAATTTTTTTTTTAATGTAGACAAAAGTTAGCAAGAACGAGGCCTTCCGTGTCATTTTTTTTAAGCTTTCTTTTGTGTATGTTTTGTAAGCAACAAATTTTTGTATAAAAGTCTCCTGTCTGTTCCTGTTTCTAGAATCCAGCGTCTTATTTCATGGTCTGCAAGGTTATTAAAGTAGCATTATTCAAAAAGACCCAGGGGTCTAAGGGCAGCCCCGACCCTAAGGCCTGACCTTGTCTGGATGGCCTGTGTCCCCTCGCCCTCCCCGCTCACTGCACCCGGGGCCAGTCTGTGCCAGGCATGTTTGTGCTCCTTGGTTTAAGAGAGCAGTCTGCCGCTGATGGGAAACGGGCCTGACGAGTTGCTTCCCCTGGGATGTAAGTGTGTAGGCGCGGGTGTTTACAGTACTGTTTACAGGCCGTGGTCTGGGTATTCCCAGTGGGGACTGACTCCAAGAACCCCGGGAAGCTGGGTGTCTCAGCAGTCCTGATCTAGAGCTGGATTCCTAGGGAGCGCTGCTCTTCGGTCTGCACTGGAATCCTGAAGAAGTAGGTTCTAACACGAGCGAAGGAATGCCTCCGCAGCAGGGTGATGAACCTGCCAGCAAGAGTGGTGTCGAGCAGGCAGAAAGCAAAAGCTTCCTCCTCCACGCCCTTTTGTGTGGACTGCCACCAGACGGTGTGGCCCAGGTTTAGGGTGGTCCAGTTGAGACTCCCCCACAAGTGTACCCAGCTGCTTGATTCCAGATGTAAAGCTGGCAACCAAGATCAGCCATCACACAAGCTTCCAGCTCACAGCTGGCATTTCAGTGGCTAGTGCAGCCATTAGCATCTTTGTCCAGGTTGTACACTGGTCCCTGGGTCCCCCTCCAAGGATCCACCTAATTTTCAGATCCCAGCACCATCTGCAAAGGATAATGATGAGCTCACTGACAATCCCCAAAAGCATTGTTATACCTGCTCCATGCTGACCCCTCCCCACAAGCTACTCTCCCTGGAAACCCCAAAAATCTCCAATGAGGGACTGTTTGGAACCATGGTAACAGCTTATTATGGTAGACAATCCGTTTGTCACTTTGGCTTGGCACTCGGCACTTCTGGAAGCCAGTGGAAGGAACAGCTGGGTTGGAGAGAATGCAGAGCTCCGGCCTCTGCATCCTTGCTTCAGAGGCTCATTTTCAAGGCGAATCAGCAGGCAAGTGAGGGGTCAGATTTCCCATCAGGTGAGGTATCTAGAAGCAACCCACCTGTCCTTGGCCCAAGTGTCCGTGAATCCCTGTGTCCCAGAAAGGTCCATCGGCCATCTCTATGCACACTGCTGGCCAGCTGCAGGACCAGGGGTGGGGCATGGACTGAGGTTGTGGCTCAGTTAATAGCTCAGCACCTATACATGAACCCTGGGTTCCATGACCACCTGTGTAACAGTCTCTGAGCTACGTATCCACATCTCCCTACACAGGCATCCAAAGTCAAATTCCTGTGTGTGCCTGGCAGGCACCTTGCCACTGAGACCCGATACCTTCATGCATCCTGTTTTGTTCGTTTTAGATAAAGTTGCACTGTGTGTGTCTGGCTTGGAGCTTGCTGTGTTGTTAAGGCTGATACTGAACTCAGGTCTAGTCTCTCAAATGCTGGCATTAAACGAATGGCCACCATACCCAGCCTTATATGTATCTGTGTACTGTGTGTGTGCAGACTCTTGAACAGCAGGTGCTCCTGGTCACTCTTCCACCTTAGTTTTTGAGACGGTCTGACTGAACCTGCAGCTTACTTACTGGTTAGGCCAGAGTGCCTGAGCCTTTGAGTCCTGAGTGCCTTCCCAGTGCTGGGGTTACAAGTGTGGGCCACCACACATGGCTTTTCGTGTGGGTCCTCATGCTTGTGTGACACTTTACCTACTTAGCTGTCTTCTTGGCCCGATGTCATCTTGTGTCTACCAGATGACACAAGTGTGGTCAGTGTGGTCTCCTGAGTGCTATCCCCCTATCCCTTCCACAATTCCCTGGGGAGTGGAACCTCCAACTGAGTAGCGAGCCACCCCTCCTCCCAACCCCAGGTCCCAGCACTGTGGACTCTGTTGGTTCTTGGCTAAGGACAGTGGCAGAATAGAACCTGTGACCATGGGATGAGGGGTCCAGAGCTCGGGAGACACCCACATACCAGTCACTAACCACTAGACACCCGCCAAGAGTGGGGCCCACGAGACAAAGGACAGACCTTCCTTTGGGCTTTCGGGTCCCACCATTCAGGCACCTGGCTTAAACAGCCTCCAAAATGCTTCCTGAGGGATGTGTATGTGAGGATGTGCCCACCTTTCTGCCAGTCAGCGATATCGTCAGGGCGTTTCCTGAGAAGCTGCCTGTTCTGGGAGGTCAGACAGAACACGGACTTAGGCAGAAAGGTGACCACTGAAAGCCTGCCTGTGCGCCATGCAAATGCAAGTCCCGAGGGGCCCTGCTATTTGGCCACATTCCCTCAACGACTCGGTGACGACCACCACTGCGTGCAAAGCTGCCTCTCCCCTCGGGGACTCCGCACGGGATCAGGGGCGGGGCTGTGGCTGCGTGCGGGGAGCGCTCCTCCAGCAGGCAACAGGCCCTGGGGCCAGCCCCAGCACGGGCCGGTTACCGCAGCGGGGCTTAGTCAGGAGGTGGAGGCAGGGGCATGAGAAATTCAAGGCCAGCCCTGGCCACAGGAGAGTCCGTCTTAAAAACAACAAAGCATAGGTATTTTTAAGGCTTATCCAATCAGTGCTATGTGCTCAAAGTCACCATTCCGGCGCCTGGGGCTGCCTGGAGCCACCGCCGGGATCCGCTGCGCCCTCAGCGCGCCAAGCAACGAGAGGACCCACCCACGGGGCGGGGCCTTGCCGTGTCCGTCTCCCCTCCCTGGAAGTAGACGTAAACGTCTGCGGAGCCGATTGGCTCCGCCACCGGAAGAGGTGATGCGTCTCCCTTCGCGCATGCGGCGTACGTCTGCACAGGCGCCGTGGCCCAGGGGAGCGGAGCGGGGTGACCCTGACTGTTGAAGCCCTGCAGCGATGCTGAGCAGGTTTCTAGGCCCGCGCTACCGGGAACTGGTCAAGAATTGGTGAGGGTGCCGCCCACCGTCCCGCCCGTGTGTCCTGGGGACCAGGGGAGACTGAGGCTGAGACAGGACACAGTGCAGGCGGAGGATCCGAGGTCAGGCTGTAATCGCTCTCGTCCGGTGTCTGGGCTTCTCCGAGCCTCGGTTTCCCCATCCGACCTGGGGAGCCTTGTGCGGCTCGGAACTCCGACTTTCAGTCTAGCCTCGTGCGGCCGTTGGCTTTGACTTTGCAGTCGTTATTTTTTTTTTTAATTATTATCTTGAAAAGTTTTCTGTAACTCAGCTTGGCCTGGAACTCCCAGCAGTCCTCCCGCCTCACACTCCTTGAATGCTAGAATCTCAGGCACCTACGTTTTACCTTAGTGTTTTGTTTGCGTGCATGTCTGTGTACTGTGTGCATGCCTGGAATCCGCGTAGTCCAGAGGAGGGCATCGTGGGTGAGGCACCGTGTGGGTGCTGGGAGCTGAACTTGGGTCCTCTGGAAGAGCCATCCTCTCCCGTTGAAGTTTTAGGTTTTTTTCTAATTGTATTTGTGTGAGTTTGTGCGCATGTGAGTGCAGGTGTCCAGAAGATGGGTGTTGCATCTCCTGGATCTGGGGACATGGGTCTTATGTAAGAGTATCAGCTCTCCCAACCACTGAGCCGTCTCTCCAGCCCCTACCTCCCGGCTTTTTTAAAGTTTTAATTGAATTTTGCTTTTTGCTTTTTCCAATGACCTTAAAACTGTTGCGCTCACACCACTGAGTAACAGCCCCAGCCCGCTAAACGATTGTCAACCAAGAGTGTCAAATCTACAGCTGTGGTTCAGAGGGTTAATCTATCATCTGGCACACATGAGGCTCTGGGTTCTGGCGCCGCACAAGCTTCAGCCGTGGGGGCTGAAAGATTTTTAAAAGATTTAGTTATTTATTATGTATACAGTATTCTGTCTGCATGTAAGTCTGCACGCCAGAAGAGGGCATCAGATCTCATTTTAGATGGCTGTGAGCTACCTTGTGGTTGCTGGGAATTGAACTCAGGACCTTTGGAAGAGCAGACAGTGCTCTTAACCTCTGAGCTATCTCTCCAGCCCGACTATGTGTATTCTTAAAGTTATCAAGTTAATACTACAGGCCCAAGGTCACCATTCCAGTATCTCACACAATTCTGAGGTCTCGGGGTCTATCCCCAGCACCACACGCCTGTCACCCCAACCCTGGGGACGCGGGAAGAGAACCATTTTATGGCCGTCCTCTGATGCACACTGAATTTGCGGTACATTGAGCCCTGCCTCAATAAGGTATGCCATTCCTGACTCCACTAGGTTGCCTGCATGGTACTAGTGAGCTCAGGGAAGGCAGCGTGGAAGTCCTCAGGCAGAGGTGACCTGCCAGGGGCCAGGAGGAAGGTTCACCTGTGGGAGCTAATGTTTGTATCTGAGGCTTGGGGTAGCATGCTGGGTGTTCTGGCAGTGTACCTGGGTGACTGGTATCTTGGTGCTCTGTGTAGCTCAGGTTCATGGGCTCTCTCTCCTAACTGTCCGCATGCTCTCTCAGTGGCTCAACCAGAGAGACCAGTGGGCCAGCTGGACCCCCAGCAGCCTGGTCCTGTTGTCCGAAAGGGAATGGTCTTATGATGAATCCGCCCCAAGTCCCACCCGACCCAGACAAGGATTTCACATATGTCCAGTCCTCGGAAGATGAGTGCCTGCTGTCACAGTTAGAAATGCTGTGTAACATGTTGCCCAGCATGATGGCCTGTGCCTGTCATCCAAAGGCTTGGGAGGCTGAGGTGGGAGGATCTCGGGTTCCAGGTGCGCTGCAGCTGCGTACCGGGTCTTGTCTCTAAAACCTACAAGCAGGAGTGCTGGTTGTGGTGTGAGTCAGGCACAGCTCGTCCAAGCCCTCGGGTCAGGCTCGGTTCCCAGCTTGGGCCTCAACCACTCTCCCACTTTTTGGCCTCTTGGAGCCCAGGCTGGTTTCTAACTCCCTGTGTAGCCAGAGGTGGCCATCAGCTCCTGATGGTCCACCACATCTGGTTTATGAAGTGCTCAGGATAGAGCCCAGGGCGAGCTCTCTACCCACTGAGCAAGAGCCCGCCATGCCCTCTTGGTTTCATACGTAGTGTGGATGTGGATGTTGCACAGGGTGTGCACGGAGGTCAGTGGGCAGCTTGACCAGTAGGCTTAGTGACGAGGGTCTTTCCCGGCGGAGAGGCCGCCTGCCTCGGCCTGAGTGCTGCATTTTAGGTGTGACCACCGCCCTGACCACTCTGTTTCAGTTTTTGAGACAGGATTTCAGTCTGTACCTGGGGCTGGTTTTATTTGTAGTTGTTTTGAGAAAGGGTTTCTCTGTGTAGCCCTGGCTGTCCTGGAACTCGCTGTCCTCAAACCAGCAGAGATCCTCCTGCCTCTGAGTGTACCGGCCTAGGGTGTGCACAGCTGCTGCCCTGCATTTAGGCACTGGGAAGAAACATCGAGGGCTGTGGACTGACATCAGTGCGGGCTGTGTAGAAGGTTCTCACAGGCTAAGTCACCAGCTGATTCTGTCTCTGTCCCCCCAGGATCCCCACGGCCACCATGTGGGGCGGTGTGGGTGCTGTGGGGCTGGTGTGGGCCACGGACTGGCGGCTGATCCTGGACTGGGTGCCTTACATCAATGGCAAGTTTAAGAAGGATTAAGCAGCTCCCTCCTCTTGCCACAAGCCTCACTGGTGAGTCCGCATGGTGGGCCTATCATGGGTTGGGGTTTCCGGGGTGGTCTGGACATGGAACAGGAGATTCCCGAGGCCTCCCGCAGCCCCCAGATTATGGATTCTTGACACTCTCAGCGGCTGAGCTGGCCAGCAGCCTTGCCCATGGAGCCAGTGTGGAGAGCTGGGCCTTAGTTACGGGTGGGATGCAGGCAGCCCATTGTTCAGATGGGAGAGTTGAGGCTGTCCCTTGCCACAGGCCTCCTGGGATAGGCTTAGGGCTGCAACACTGTGTCTCCAACAAACCACACCAAAGTGGTAGCTGTTTTGGTAATGTTGGTGCTTGTTGCCCATAGGACAGTCCTGTTCAGACTATGCATGCTCCACCTGATATCTATGTATGTGTGCGTGTATGTATGTGCACGCACAGGTATGGAGGCCAGAGACTGAGATGGGGAGCCTCCCTCTATCTGTCTCCACTTTATGACCTTGAGACAAGGTCTGTCACTAAGCCACTGTGGCTGGGTTCTGGCCAGCTAGTATCTTCCCTGGACCTGCCTGGCTCTTGCCACCCTGTCCCCAGAGTGCTGACCTATCCTTCCACAGCAGGCTCTTACTCACTGGGCCATCTCTAACCCCTCTACCTTATTATTTATTTTATTTTTTAAGATTTACTTATATGGGGGGGGGGTCATCTGCAGTGTGCAGAGAGGCCACAGGAGGGCATCAGAGCTACTGGACCTGGGGCCACAGGTGGGAGTGGTTGCTGGGAACTGAACCCACTCTGCGCCAGAGCAGCTTTACCACTGAGCCTGGAGCTCAAGCACTGGCTAGACTGGCTGGCTGCCTGGCTTGCTGCAGGTCTGTTGGGGATGGAAGCGATTGCTCTCCCCAGCCCTCTCACCTTGTCTTAAGAGAAAGGCCGGGCAGTCGCCTGACTGTCCTGAACTGGCCTCTGTGTGCTTAGCTCATGCTGTGTTGTCCCTTCCCCCAGGTGCCACACCCAGCCACCTCAGAAGCAGCCCTGCCTGCGGAGGATGCCTAGGAAGCTACTCGCTCCTGGGGAGCTTCTGCGCTGATGGACACTGGGGCTACCATGACGGGTGTGTCATTAAAACCTTCTTCTTGCCTCCAATGCCTGGGCCTTCTCCTGCGCCATCTGCCTCCCACCTTGTCTTCAAGGCATCCCCAACCCAAGGGTCCTTTAAGCACTCAGTGTTTGCACGTCTTTAATGGCAGAAATCCTTACCACACTGACAGTTTATGGATGGAAACTGCAGTTGTTCTCTGGGGCTGGCCCCATAAGTCACTTTCAACTTTAATGGCTTTTTGGTTTTCTGAGACGGGGTTTCTCTGTGTAGCCTTGGCTGTCCTGTACTTTCTTTGTACACCAGGCTGGCCTCAGACATTCGCTTGCCCCTGCCTCCAGAGTGCTGTGATTAAAGGTATGTGCCACCAGCCTAGGAACTTTAATGACTCTTAAATAAGTGTTCAGGGACCCTGGGGCCACCATCCATACCCAGGTAGAGCAGGGCTTCATCCTTGTAAGTAGCTCAGGCTCAAACTCAATATGTAGCCAAGTCTGGCCTTAAACTTTTTGTTTTTTGAAACAGGGTTTCTCTGTGTAGCCCTGACTGTTCTTGGAACTTGCTCTGTAAACCAGGCTGGCCTCCGACCTAGAGATCTGCCTGCCTCTGCCTCCCAAGTGCTGGTACTAAAGGCATGCACCACCACTGCCCAGACCATGTAGTGACTTCTTGTCTCAGAAAGTTCTGGGTACAGTGGTACCTGTCTTCCTAGCACTGTGGATGTCAGGTCAAGAAAATAGGTTCATCTCCTGATACATAGATAAGCTAGCCTGGGCTATATGATGTCTAATTAAAAAAAAAAAGGATAAAAAGAAGTGCTTGCACATGGCTCAGTGGTTAAGAGCCTCTGTTCTTGCAGATCCAGGTTTGATTCCCAGCACCCACACAGTGGCTCCAGTCAGTCCCAGGGATCCCATACCATCTCTGGCCTCCATGGGCAACAGGCACACACATGATACACAGACACACATGTAGGCAAAATATTCATATATAAATCTTTCCAAAAGCCCTGGGCCTAGTAGCCACTCAGGGTGCTGAAGAGGAGTGTGGGAGTTAGAGTAAGGCCTCTGACTTCTGAGGTGGTCAGGCCCTGTCTTCCCATGCGGAAAAAAAAAAAAAACTGTGGAGGGGAGGAAATAGTTGACGAACTCACTGGCCAAGGAAGCGTGAGAACATGAACTCCTGCCCTGGAAGTCGGATGCTCCCTGGCCAGCCAGTCTAGGTGAAACAGTGAGCTACAGGTGAGAGACCCTATCTGGAAGAACCAGCTGGTTCTGGATGGACTTTTACTTTAGTGTGCTCTTCTTTTTCCCACCCTTTGCCACACCCACCCCACCCTAGCTTCACCCCAACACTGGACAGAGAAGCACAATGGAGGGGAGAGGACAGGAAAATCCCTGAATCCAAGTTCTTTCCTTTTGCTTCTTTTTTGACCTTGGCTATTAGCACACTGCAAACTCCCTAAACGACCAACTCCCCACTCCTAGCAAGGCCCTAGCATTTTTACACCCTCTGAAAAGTCCTCAGAATTCCAAACATAATCACAGAATCTGGGGCTGGCAAAACCAAGCCTCCGCTAGAGCACCAGGCAAAGCCTCTTCAGCTGCTGTGGACAGCCCACAGCAGCCTCACCTCCCACCTGCCATCACAACAAAAACACTTTATTTCTGTAAAATAAAACAAAATTCTAGAATTTTCACCACACATGGTAAAAGACACATTTTGTTGTTTTTGGAGACAGGGATTCTCTATGTAGCCCTGGCTATCCTGGACTTGCTTTGTAGATCAGGCCGGCCTTGAAAAGACAAGAGATTGTCAGTCTCTGCCTGAGTGCAGGGATTAAAGGTGGACACAACCACATCCAGCTCAAGGCCAAGGATTAAATTTTCAAAATTAAAAGATGTTAGAGAAATTGAAGAAAACCCCAGTATCAGCATTCTGCTTCCAATCACCACGTGCAAAAAAAAAATCTGTCAAAATCATACCAACCCGGGCTGGAGAGATGGCTGAGTGGTTAAGAGCAGTGTCTGGTCAAGAGGTCGAGTTCAAGCCATCTGAGATCTGGTCCCCTCTTCTGGTGTGCAGGTGTACATGCAGATAGAGCACTCGCACATAAAATATAGATCTTAAAAAAAAAAAAAAAAAAGCCAGCCCTAGCATGGTGGTGGATGTCTTCATTCCTAGCAGCTGGGAGACGGGGTGTTGGAGGGTCTCTGAGTTCAAGGTCAGGGAAGGCTGCGTAGTGAGACCCTGACTCAAAAAGCCAAAACCTCAGTCCCCAGCCAGGGGTGCATGGCCAACTTCATAAGTCTAGAGTGGTGAGGCACACAGGAGGCAGAGGCAAGGTTCTACGTGAGTTTTAGGCCAGGCTGGTCTACGGAGTTGCAGGACAGCCAGGGCTACAAAGAAAACCCTGACTGTAAGAACTAGAAAAGTATTCTGATTTACCGGCTAAAAGTAACTGAACCGACCAGCGCTTCTGTGGCCGTCCCACCCCTCTTCACTGTCCCCTGATCTCCCCTCCCCGCCTGGGGGCTCAGGTCCTGGTTTATAAAATACGGCGCCTCAGCTCCAAATGCGCTGGGATGCGGCCTGTTGACCCCACCTCGTCAGTGCGGGGCTTGTTTCAGAGTGGACCTCCGTGGGGGCTGGGGCGAGAAGGGCCGTCGGCCGTCCAGCACGTGCCCTGGGTGGGCCGGGTGGGACCGGGGCAGGAATGTCCGCCGCCCCGGCTTCCTGTCCTCACGGCTGCGGTGGGCGCGCGGGGAAGTGTGAGGTCGCTTGGCACTAAGGGCTACACTAACTTACAAACGCTGACACTGTTTAGTCCAAGATCGGACTCGAAAGATGCCGGGATTTCTTCTCTTCTGTTGCTGGGTCCCAGAGTCCAGGCTGGTCTTGAACTGACCACGCTCGCGGTGCCGGGATGGCAGGCCTGTGGCACTCCCCGCGGCTGGCCGGGCCAGTTGGGGGCGAACAGCTGCCATGTGTGGGCCGCCGTGCCCCGCAAAGAAGGAACTTCAGGGAACCGTTCTGGGTGAGGCCGTACGTGGCGGCGCACGCCTGTCACCACAGCCGTGTGGAGCCGGAGGCCGCCAGCGGTGCCAGATCTCTCTTTCACTCTGGCCCGGCGGGTACGCAGGCGAACCCAGAACAGACGCTAACCCGGCGGCCAGCTCCCTCGCGGCGCGGACCAGGCGCACCGGGTTGCCTGCGGCGCCCAGAGCGCAAGCGCGAGCGCCGTCCCGCCGCCTCCACGCTGATTGGCCGCACCGGCTGAGGGCGGGTCCTACGAGAGCATCCAGCCACACAGACAGACCCTGAGCGCTGATTGGTCTCGCCGCCTCTGGGCGTGTCCCGCTCACCGGCGTGCGAGAGGGCCGGCAGGACCGCCGAAGAGCCGAAGGGATCCGATTGGTCTCACCGCCGAGGTTCTCGCGGGCATGTGGAGGCGGGGCCGAGGCCGCGGCTGCGCAGTGAGCCACGGCCGCCCGCAGACCAGTCCGCCGAGCGGGGAGGGCGGGGCCAGCTCCGCGGCTGCGCAGTCGGGCCCCACGCGCGGGCGGGTGGGCGGAGCGGCCCCCCTAGCGGGGGCTGTGGAGCGCGGGGAGGGGGCCGAGCGGGTGGCAAAGCCGGCGCGTGCCCGGCTGGGGGCGGAGGGCGGAGGCCCGCGGGACGGAACAGCCGCGGCGGAGTGGCGGCGGCGGCGGAGGGAACCGAGGCGGCGACGAGCCCGGGGGTCGCGACTTGCAGCGGAGGCGGCGGCATTGGCGACGGCCGGCCCGGAGGCGGGCGGAGAGCCGGGGCGCAATGGAGCGGAAGAGGTGGGAGTGCCCGGCGCTCCCGCAGGGCTGGGAGAGGGAAGAAGTGCCCAGGAGGTCGGGGCTGTCGGCCGGCCACAGGGATGTCTTTTACTATAGGTGAATGAGCGCGCCGGCCGCGCAGGGCCCCAACGGGCGCCTCCCAGCGGCCTCTGCGGCGGCCTGGGCGCCCCTTCTGCGGGCCGCGATCCGGCCCGGGCGACGTGCGTACTAGCGTGCGTCCTACGTGCCCGCTGCGTTCAGTGCGCACGCGCCGGCCTCGGCCCGCCGCCCAGTGCGCGTGCGCGGGGCCCGGCGCCTTGCTACTGCTCGTGCGCGCCAGTCCGCGCCGCTGTCACTCAGCGCGCGTGCGCCGCGCAGGGCCCTCGCCGGCAGCTGCAGCCTCGTGGCTCTGCGCTCGCCCGGGGCGTGAGCTTTTGTCCCTCTGCGGGAGCGGGGACCGTGCACGCCGCCCGAGGGGTGCCCTGCCTTGGCCAGACGCCGCTGGGAAGCGGGGGTGGGAGGCTGGACTGACCCTTTGACCCTCGCGGGGACCATACCGTGGTTTCAGGGAGCAGGGTGAACTGCCCCAGGTGGCCTGATCCTCACAGCTCCATAGTTTGGGGTTTTAGCCACGCGGTCTGCAAAATGCCCCCGATTTTTGTGCTTCTCCCAAAGCTCTTGCTCTTGAGTTGTGCCCGGTAGAAGTGACGTCTGTCACAACGGCCCTGAGCCCTGTGGACGCGGGTTTGTTTTTGTTTTTTGTTTTTTTTGAGGCAATGTCTGCATTGACCAGGCTGGCCCCCTCCTCTCTTAGGTAGGGCGGTGACAGCTCTTGGAATCACAGCCAAGCAGCCTGCACCTGCTACTTGTCTTCAAGTCTTTTTGCAGCTGTGGGGATAGACTCCTGGGCCTCGTGTGTGCCTGGCAGCGCCCTGCCCTGTGCTACACCTCCAGCATCTGCTTTCTGAGCTGACTGTAGTTGTCCCTTCCTCATTGCATGGTGCATTGTGAGGAGATCTGGCTGGCCCTTCGTCCTGTGGCGTCATGGCTTTGGGTAATAGATAAGGTTGGAGGCCCGGATCAACTCCGGTTCCCTTCAGGCTGCAGGAGGGGTGGGGCTTTTGCTTCCTTAAGGTCTGAGGTAGCTGAGGGTTTTCCCCAATACGGTGCAAATGGTGTCTTGATGTGCATGCCGCTCCGCCCCCTTCTCTCTGACTTGCCCAGCCTTGCTAACATTTTCTAAAGCTTGTAACCCTAGGGTTCTGTCTTGTGAAGGAATCCTTAGGCCATGATCTGCCTCTGTTCCCTTCTGGGGGAGCTCCTCTGGGCCTGCAGCTAAAGAGCAGGGCTGTCCCCACCGCTAAGGCAGAAAGTGGTGAGGATTAAAGACCTGGTGGCTATAGGTCCCAGGCTGTAGTTACCAAACTTGTCCCCACAGCTAGCTTCACAGACATACCTCTGCCTCAGGAGAGCTACAAATGCTATCCAAGTCATATGTGCACTACATCTGTGACTGTCAAGGGTCTGCCTTCCTCAAGAGTCCTCCCACACACCTGGGGTCGGACTGACCCCAGCCCTGTCTCAGTGGGGCAAGCCTGCATTTCCCCACTCAGGCTGTCAGGGACACATTCAGAAAGACTGATTTATCAATAGGGCCCTACAGAGCCTGCCACTCACCCACATAAGACTGTCCCCATGATGTCACTCTCCACCCCAGCCACCGGCAGCCGCTCTTCTGACTTGCATTTGTTTTATATTTTTTAGAAAGGGGGTCTTGCTGTGTAGCCCTGGCTGGCCTGGAACTTGGGCACCCTTTTTTCTCAGCTTTATCTGGACGAGGGGCATGTGCCACCATGCCTGGTTTTGTTGTCTTGCCTTTTTTTTTTTTTTTTTTAATCAGCTTTGTTGAGATGATCAGCCTATATGCCAAATTCACTCATTAGGAGACAGCCAGCTTTTAGCATGTTCCAACAGATGGGGTTACCATCAGATTAGAGTTTAGAATATTATTTTTTAAAGATTTATTTATAACGTATACAGTGTTCTGCCTGCTTGTACACCTGCATGCCAGAAGAGGGCATCAGATCTCATTACAGAGGTTGTGAGCCACCATGTGGTTGCTGGGAATTGAACTCAGGACCTCAGAAAGAGCAGGCAGAGCTCTCAACCCCTGAGCCATCTCTTCAGCCCTGGAATATTATTTTTAAAACGAGGCCCCAGGGGCTAAGGCTGGAGCTTGGAGACCAGAATGCTAATACAGCCAAGGGTTCATCCCTAGCACCATACTCCCTGGTTCACAGCCTGTCATCACAGCATTCAGAGCGTGGAGACAGGAGGTCACCGCCATCTTCAGCTGCAGTCTGAGACCAGCCTGGTTTATAAGAGGCCTTGTCTGGACAGGGGTCCTTTGCCATCTGCTGCCCCACGCTTCCCTCCCCACTCCCTAGGCAGCTGTGGACTCCGTGCATCCCGCTGCTTTTGATCTCATTCTGCTGCCCACCGCAGCTGCTCAGGAGACAGGAAACAGCCTTCTGGGGCTGCAGACCAGCAGGGTGACGGTCCTGTGTGTGCCAACCCAGAGGTTCCCAGAAGGGAACAGCAGTCTCACCCTGTAAACAGTTAACAGAGATTGCTAGTGAGTCTGGCCAATTCCTGCCAGAAGCCCACCTCCCAGCCCTGAGGCTGGGGGTCCCCTAGCCACGCCTAGCCTTTAGCCATTCCTCACTTTACTAATAACAAAGATTACTACCATTAATCCCAGACCATTTCACCCCAGTCCCACAAATCCATTCCGTGGATTCCCCCACACAGTGTGGCCTTTTATGCCTCATTGAACAGGATGTCCTCAAGAACCCGCCACATTTCAATATGTCAGAGTCTTGCTCCTTTTCGTGGTTGTCTAATACTCTGTGGTATGGTAGAGCTCTGGACTGTCCATCTGGGGCCACACAAGGCTCTCAGCACAGGCTTGGCTGTGACGCAGTTTCCAGGCGGCCTAGAACTTAGTTGGGCAGTTTTGGGGGTTGGCAAACCTATGCCTGTCCTGTGAGCACGGGCTCAAGACTCAAGGTAGCTCCCGCAGAACATGTGGTGCACATGCCGTCCCACACTTGGGAGTTGAGCCGCGGCTCGGGCAGTTCAAGGCCAGACTGAAGTGCGAAAGACCCTGTCTCCACGGAAATGGAAAGATGGGCGCACTCAGTTAACTGTCTAGCAGTCCTGAGGCCTTGGCTCTTACCTCCAGCTACACTGACTCCAGGCGGCGTAGCCACTCAGGAACTTGAAGGAATATCAGGGATTCTTGGCTATTGAGTTTTGAGACCAGCCTAGGCTACATGATCCCTGACTCCCAAAATAAATAAATGCAGCCCTGTAGCCCGCAGACAGCAAAGCAAGGACTGCTTTCTGGCCCAGAAGCCACTCCCTCCCAGCCAGGCCCCCCTCCCCTTTAGGCTTCTAGAAACACTGTGGCCACCCTAGCCTAAGGCCTGACTTCTCAAGGCTGTTCTTCCCGCTTGCTTGTCTTTTGACCTGTGAAAACACAGGCGTGGGGAACACGCCCTTCCAAGGGGGTGGGTAGGGGCTGGAGGCCTGCTCGGGCTGACCAGCCTCCCGCCCGCAGCCCCAGCGGGAAGAAGTTCCGCAGCAAGCCACAGCTGGCGCGCTACCTGGGTGGCTCCATGGACCTCAGCACGTTCGACTTCCGCACGGGAAAAATGCTGATGAACAAGATGAATAAGAGCCGCCAGCGCGTGCGCTATGACTCCTCCAACCAGGTCAAGGTGAGGGTGGTGACGTCAGGGCAGGGGCGGGCTCAGGGTTAGCCACCATCGCCATCGGGTCAGTACTCTGCTGGCAGAAGCATGGCGCGCATTTGGTTTGGTGGGTGGGAGATCTGCCCGCCTGATCGCCCACCCGCCACCATTCAGGCTCTGGCTAAACGCCTCTCTGGCCCCTCCAACCCTCCATGGACCCCGGTCGGAGCGGCCCGCTGCAGAGTCTTCTCCCCCCAGGGCAAGCCTGACCTGAACACTGCACTGCCCGTGCGGCAGACTGCATCCATCTTCAAGCAGCCGGTGACGAAGATCACCAATCATCCCAGCAACAAGGTCAAGAGCGACCCGCAGAAGGCAGTGGACCAGCCGAGGCAGGTGAGCCCCGGGCAGTTTCCGTGCTCATCCTCTCGGGCTGGGGGTTTATTCTTTAGAAAGAAAATGGCCACTTAGCATCTGAGGCCAGGAGTTCATAAATGACAGATTTTAACCTTGGCCTTTTTTTTTTTTTCTTTAATCAACATAAGAAAAGCCAGGATTCCTTTGTGGTTTCAGCCCGCGTGTAAACATCTCCAGGGGGCGGGAGCAGGGTAGGCGGGTTGTGGCCAGGACCCTCCCACCTCCTTCCTGTGACCTTGCCCCTCTCCCCTAAAGCTGTTCTGGGAAAAGAAGCTAAGTGGCTTGAGTGCCTTTGACATCGCCGAGGAGCTGGTCAGAACCATGGACCTTCCCAAGGGACTACAGGGTGAGCAGGCGGGTGAGGTGGGTGGGTGCTGGGGCCTCTTTTGTTTCTCTTTGTTTCCATTTTAAAAAGGTGTGTGTGTGTGTGTGTGTGTGTGTGTGTGTGTGTGTGTGTGATTGCGAGTTTATTTGTACCATGTGCATCATACTGGTGCATCTGGAGTTTACAGGCAGTTGTGAGCCCACTGATGTGGGCGCTGGGAAGCAATTCCAGGTCCTGCACAAGAGTAGAACACACTCCAGGGCTGCCCCAGCTGGCACTGCGCACCATCCCCTTTCGTTATTCTTAGACTGGCTCTCCCAGTGGAGCCCTGGCCAGCCTCCGGCTCACAAAGCCCTGTCTGCCTTCTCCTGCCTTTGCCTGGCCTTACAGGCTGATGCCGGCCTTTGCTGGGGCTCTGGATCAGCTCCTTCCGTTGAAGACTTGCTTGGGATGGGGTCATGACTTTCGGGGGCACGCTAGCCCAAGGGTAGAGGAGGAAGCTGTGGCATCCCATGACCCAGCCCGCACCGTCATTCTCCACAGGGGTGGGCCCAGGCTGCACGGATGAGACGCTGCTCTCGGCCATCGCCAGTGCCCTGCACACCAGCACCCTACCCATCACAGGCCAGCTCTCCGCAGCTGTGGAGAAGAATCCTGGCGTGTGGCTGAACACTGCTCAGCCACTGTGCAAAGCCTTCATGGTGACCGATGATGACATCAGGTAACTGGTGGCTCCGTGCACACACACACATCGCCACAGTTAGTCAAAGCAGGAATGCTGTGGAAATGAAGGCACTTAGATGACAGGCAGACACTCTTGGAGGAGGTGGGGTTGGGGGTCTAGATATGACAGTGATGAGCCCTCTGGCTCAGAAATCGTGCTACCACAATCCCAAGAGAATTGGGAAACTGGGATTTGAAGCTGAGTGACTGGCGGCCCTCTGGAGGCCTGGGTGGGCGTGGCAGGGGAAGTTGGCAACTTGAAGTACCTCCGAGCTCCTTCCTATGTGGACCTTCAGGGGCTTGCCTGGGTTTCCTGTATCAGAGACCAGGGGCACGGGGCCAAATGGGGACCAGTGCAGGTCCCAGAATCAGTTTGTGGGCCTATAACAGAGAATCTGCCTCCTCTTGTGTGGACCTGGCTACTCTGGTTTCCAATTTTGCATAGTGTGGATGTAAAAAGTTAAAAATGCCCACAGACCAGCGATCACCCGAGTTAATGGAGAAGCTGTGTGGAGTTTCTGGAAGGGCTGTGGTAGGGTGCCTGTGGGCTGATCCCCTTGGACTGTTGAGGCCCTGAGGTGACCGGTCCCCAAGCCTGTGTGCCCTGTCAGAGTGTGTGTTCCCAGGAAGCAGGAGGAGCTGGTGCAGCAGGTACGCAAGCGCCTGGAGGAGGCACTGATGGCCGACATGCTGGCGCACGTGGAGGAGCTGGCCCGTGATGGGGAGGCACCGCTGGACAAGGCCTGCACGGAAGAGGATGAGGATGAGGATGAGGAGGATGACGAGCCGGAGCCGGAGCGTGTCTAGACAGGTCTGCAGGCTAGGATGGTGGGGTGTAGGTCCTGTCCCCTCGTCAGGCTGCTGACAGCTTTCATTCCTGCGTTTTCCAGACGCCCTGACCAAGTCCGGGTTGCAAACTGCCTCCATGGCCTCCTGCAGACTTCTTCAGCCCTGCCCGGACCAGACGGGGCCAGGCCAGCAGGACGCAGGCCTCTGTCTTCTTCCCAGGGCTCCCTGCTCCCAGGTCTCAGTGCAGGGGTCCCTATGGGCCAGGACTTGCTTGCCCGTGCGCTGCCTGGCAAGAAGCCCCACAAGGGAAACTGAAGGCCTACTGCACAAGTGGGAGGCAGCCTTGGCCATGGTCGCCTCCCTGCCTCCACCACAGGAAGAGGCCTGCTGTCACCAAGGAGCTGTGAGCTTTGTTGGGCGCTGGAGGAAGGGTCTGGAAACACACCTGGCTATGCCTGCCTTGCAGTGTCCCCAACGCCATTACAGGCCTGGGACTGGACTGCTCCTGTCCATAGAGCCACTCAGCCTCCCCAAGCTGAGGACCAGCAGCCAACCAGGAAGTCGCTTTCCTTCAATAAACTGATGGTAGGAACTTCTTTGGGCCTCTGACTTCTCTGTGTGAGCCACAGCTCTGAGGGTGCCTGGTGAACCCACCGTGCCCGCTGGCCAGGCCCGTGGGATCCACTTGCTCTAGGGCCTCAGGGTCCCTACCACAGGCTCTGGCTCTGGGAGGGCAGTTGGCAGGCTTTGTGTTTGGCACCTGGATACTGGCCACCTGAACTGTATCCCTGCAGTTGTGGCCTCTAGGAGGCCAGGGAAAGGGGGAGGTCTTAAACCCGCCTCACCGATCAGACAGCTCTCAGTGGTGCGGGAGACCCTCTCTACCGCCGTTGAGTGCCCCTGGCCGCCCTACGTCTATCACGCTCTTGTTTCCCAGGCTGGAGGCACCCAAAGCTAGAGCTGGTGCTCACTGTCTGCCCGCCCTGCAGGGACCAGTGTCCCTGTCACATGGATTGATGATGGGGCAGGCTCCTCCAGCAGTGGAGCCAGTCGTCCTGTGGGGCAGGCTCCTGGCGGCTCTGGGCTCTCTCTAGTGACTGGTGCCACCGCAGTGGACCAGAGTTGGTACGTTTCCGTCAGCATAGGGACCGATGACTGTAGCGTCTTTGGGCTGGAAGGGGCGGGGGTAATACAGGAAGCTTTGCGTCTGCAGGCTACTAACTGTAGACTAGACGGGTCTTGAATGCCACCATCACCTGCCATCCTCCATAGAGGGAACTCCATCCTAACCCACTGCAGGCAGCCTTCAGAGAGGACCAGGTCTACCCTGCTGACTATGCCCCACAGGACCTTCCACATGGAGCCTGTCCAACCTAAGCTGCCTGTGGCCAGACTTGGGGCACCCTGCAGAGGGTCCTGGCATGGCCTCTGGGTCCCACGGGACTGCTGGGGGTCCTTGGGTTCCCCACAAGCAGTGATGGCTCTCTGCTTCTGGGCCTCGCTCCTAACCTGCAACATGGCAGCGGAGTTCTCCCCAGCTGTCCCGGGAGGTGGAGAAGGGTCCCTGGGGCACCTACTTCCCAACCCTCTCCTCCTCCTAAGAGCCTCCTGTCACACCTCTGTCATCCAGCTCATCCAGAAACCCCACAGTCCTTCTGCTGTGCGGCAGCCACCACAGACTCACTCAGCCCTTCCACAGGCATGCTTCTGTCCCACCAGCCACCATAACTGATGGTGGCACCATAGGTGAAGCCATCCACCTGCCGAAATATTGCTAGGCCAGGAGTAGGAAAGCGAGGCGCTCACATGCCACAGCCAGCACGCCATGCCAGGGAGAGGCCCAGACATGAAAGCTCACGGTGGACTTCGTAACAGAAATGTCCAGAGCAGGAGAAAGCAGGGACAGTGAGGTGGAATACTGGGACTTGGGGAACAGGGTATCCGCAGGGTGGGCCTCTTGGGCGGATGGAATACTCTGGAGGTGGTTCGTTACTTTGGCGCTGGTGATGTGTTGGTTCTCCTCCTGCCTGGGAGCTGCCTCCCAGCAGCCCATGGAGTCAGGAAGTGGAATGGCCAGCCCCACCCCGCCGGCGAGAGACGTACAAGGATCACACACCCCGGGAACAGCTGATAGCTAGGTCAACTTTAATTCCAAAGAAGAAAAGTTCCCTCTGCCTTGGAGAGGGAAGGGCTCCAAGAACAGGTGTGCAGAGTTGGTTGAACTCGGCCCTTGAAGGAGACTGACTTGCAGTATACAGCATGCTCTGGTCCTGAGAGTAAAGTGTTAGCACCTGACACACAGGCCGGTTTCTCCACCTGACCGCATCCTCCTGGCCGGTATTTGTAGCGCACACCTCTTAACCCACAGCATGGGCTAAAGGTCGAAGCCAGGGTCTAGATCAGGCGCGGTTACTGGGCTGGAAGCAAGCAGCGTACATGCTTCCCTCTACTTTATGTGGGGGTATTTGCCTGAGTGTGCAGCATACACAAGCCAGAAGAGGGGGACAGAACTCTGGAACTGGAGTTACAGACAGTTGTGAGCCACCATGTCGGTGCTGGAGGTTAAACCTGAGTCTTCTGAAGAGCCAGAGTGGCCTGAGCGGTCTCATACTTAACTTATTAATTTGTTTGGAGATAGAGGTAAGCCTAGGCCCAGGTGCATGCTGGGATGGACTTTACTGAGACACACCACAGCCACTGAGGTGTTTGTGTATGTAGCAGTCAGGACCAGCTTCGGTCACCCAGGCTCCGCATACCTAGGTCTGGGGGCTGTGACTTGGGTCCCTCGCATTGGCAGGGCAAGTTTTTCACGCAGTGACTAAGCTGTACTGTACGATTCATTCTCCTCCAGGGAAAGCCCACATTCCCTGTAACAGACATCCTCCCCGGTGCTGGGAGGGCAGGCTTGGACCAGTTCAGCCCTCTCTGTGGCGCTGTGTGTGGCTGGAACCCAGGGCTCCCTGCCTGCTGAGTGAGAGCAATGCCTGTGTGTGTGCTCTTGTTTGTAGACAAGATCTCGCTCTGTAGACAGGGCCGGAACTCCGGGGACCTGCCTGCCTCTGCCTCCCAAGGCTGGGATTAAAAGCATGCATCACACTCAGTTTACCCCTTGGTTACTGGCAGGAGGCTCTCAAGTTCAAGGCCAGCCTCGTCCACAGAGTGAGTTTCAGGACAGCCAGGGCTACACAGAAACCTTGTCAAACAAAACGTGTACATGCCTGAGTTTATGCCTGTGCACCACAGGCATACAGAAGCCCACAGAGGTCCGAAAGGGCACTGGCTCCCTGGAGATGGAACTCCAAGCAGTTGTGAGCCCTTATGTGTGCGCTGGAAACAGCCAGATCTTCGCGGGAGCAGTGAACACTCTGGACCAGTGAGGCATCTCTGCCTTCTCACACCTTTGGTTTTTGAGTCGCTTGCAGAGCCTGGGGCCCAGGGATTCTGCTGGGCTCTGAAGGGGTCCCCGTCCTGTGCTGGGATTACAGACACACTTCTGTCATTTGAACTTGAGACCTCACCTTTGGGTTCTCTTCCAGGCCCTGTTTTCAAACCTCTCAGGAGCTACTTGGAGAGCTCTGGTCCCCCAGCTTTGCATCTTCAGAACAAAGCACAACGTGACCCTTAGGAGACTTATCATGCCTCTCCCTGCTGTTTATCCTCCCTTTCCAGAACTTAACACAGCTCTGTGCTCCAGCTCAGGAGCCCAAGTACCAGGTCAAAGCCCCAGTGGGGAGGGCAGCTATGGCCAGCTTGACTGGGTCTATCCTGATGCAGCCTCTGGCTCTGAAAAGCTGCCAAGGCTGCTGGAAGCTTCTGCCAAGTCAAGGACAAGGCCTGTACTGGAGCCCAGGGAGGGAACAGACAGTAGATGTTAGGAAATTTTTTTTTTTTTTTTTTTTTTTTTTTACTTTTTTCTCCCCTGAGAAAAGGTTTCTCTGCATAGCCCTGGCCATCCTGGAACCTGCTGTGTAGACCATGCCGGCCTTCTCGAACTCACAGAGATCTACCTATCTCTGCCTCTCCCAAGTGCTGGGATTAAAGGCCTGTGCGACCACTGCCATGCTTAGATTGATTAATAATACTGTATATATAATAGTTATTATTAACCAGACTCTCACTGGACAGCCTGGCTGGGCTGGAGCTTCCTCGGTAGACTAGAATGGCCCGGAACTTAAAAGGCCCTGCTAGCTCTTCCTGGCTTCTGGGCTGGGGAACCCACACAGCGGAGCTGTGAGGACTCCTGGGGGCTGCAGCTGCGCCTGTGCCCGGGATGACTGTAAAGTGAGCCGTAGGTGGGGGCACGCTGTGGCCGAGGGAGCCACAGAATGGGGCAGCCTGGGACAAAGACCCCGCACAACTGACCTGAGGTTGCCATCAGCCGTAGGAAGGGATCCAGGCAAGTTCCATCCTGTTCCCTGTTGGTGAGAAATCTCAGCAGGAACACTGAGGTGTGTGCTCCAGCTGGGGACAGGGTGGCCCTGGAGCTGGGCAGGGCCTGTGGACAAGGTTGCCTTCCTCCAGAGCCCAAGCATCTCGGGAAGATGGGTCTCAGTGAACACGGGCAGCACCTGGTGGGAAGCCACTCACCCCAGGAGCCCCGTCCAGGTAACGATGTCTTAAGTTTGGGGGTATACAACCCCCTCCATCCCCAAGGAGGATGAAGTAGCAGGAGAGGAGGCTTGACTTGGGGAAAGGGACCTCGGGGGGGGGGGCTGCCCAGGCGCTGTGCTGAGCGGATCTGAGCAAGGGAATGAGCAAGCAGGGTGCCATCATGCAGGCTCCTCTCACGGGTCCCCAGGTCATTAGATGTGCTCGGGATAGAGGCCGAGACTTGGAAGGGCTGGACCCGCTGGGAGAAGACAGAAACGGGAGGGGGCGCCACTGTCGCACAGACAGGGCTTTCAAGACTTTGGAGATGAGTTCAGAGACCAGAATGACAGTGGTGACCCGAAACGAGAGGGCGGGGACCGCCTGGGACAAGCCAGGGACCCTGAGGAGGGACCACCGCCACACCTTTGCGATGGGATGGAGTCCCTGTCTTGGAGGGCTGAAAGCACTGTGAGGTGATCCCTGCCAGAGGGTCTCCACGGTCCCCGGGCCCACGGGGAAGAGTCCCCGGCCTCGAAGGGCGGGCCTGACCCAAGGGGAGGGGTACCCAGCACTGTGCGCACGGAGTGGAGTCTGTGCCTTACAGCGGGAGGCGGGAGGGGGACAGTAACCGCGGAGCGATCCCGGGCAGAAGGTCCCGAAGGTCCCCCGGAGCGCACTTAGGGGAGGCCTGGCAGGGCGGGGAGCGCCAGGGGGCGACGGCGCCGGCCCCCGGCACACACGGCCCCCGGACACGCCCCCCGGGCGCGCGGCGGCGGCGGCGGCGGCTCGGAGCGGCGCCCGCTCGGCCGAGCC